TGTATTTAGAATTAGGGTGCTATTAGGATATAATTATGTATGTGTGAGTGAATATGTGTGGATTGTGTGCTTGTGTATGAATTTTTATCTGTTTGTAGACTTGTGGCTAGGAAACTTGGTTATGGTGTGTGGTTTTGATGGATTTACTTGGTAGACCAAGTTTCTATTACAAGTAGATATTTATTTTGATATGTGTGTGTGTGTGTGTGTGTGTGTGTGTGTGTGTGTGATTTTATAAGCAAATGCAAAGTGTTTGCATTGCAAATGATGTGCTATGGGCAAGCATACACTTTGGATAGAGAGAGTGGGTGCGTGGGCCCTACAAGGAGCTTTGAGCCAAGTGAAAATGTTTAGCATATGTATTTATATAAATACATGGTATTTGGATTGATTTGTGACTACTCTTGTATGATTTGTGCATTTTGGGGGTTTAGGATCCATTTTGGGAAATGGCACCCGGGTGGTCAAATTTTGATGTATGGGAGTTTTCCATCATTTGAATGTTCTATCAAGTGTTTTTAGTCTTATTTGACGTGTCCAAAGTGTTCCCACAGGTTTGTGACCATTAGGATGAGATTTGGACAATTTTGAAAATGGTTTTTACCAAAAAGCTGCACTTTTGCATCCGGGTGTTCAAATTTTAATCCGACCGTTGGATTTCTCTAAAATTTGGGTTACAAGTAAAATCTTTTATAAGCTTCGTGTGGGATTTGGTGGATATCAGATGAAAAAATGGCGCACTTCAGAATTTGGTCTGGAGGTGCTGTCATGACAGCATTTCATTGCTATCATGACAACTACAGTAGTAATATTGTAACCTGCACAAAATTCAATCCATCCGTTGGATCTTTTCAAAATTTGGTATGCTAATATTATTCTTAAAAAGTGACATGTAGGCTTTGGAATCGCTCCGATCGGAGGTCAGATGATGAAATGGTGCACTTTGAAAGTTGGTCCAGAAGTGCTGTCATGACAGCTTTTGACAGCAAAAGTGATCAAATTTATAACATGTTCAATTTTTAATCCGACCGTTGGATCTTTTTGAAATTTGATACACTTATAGTACCCTTTGAATTTGATGTGTGAACTTTAAAATTTCTTCGATCGGAGATTGGAAGACAGAACGGTGCCTCCCTGAAGTTGACTCGGGAGGGCTATCATGACAGCAATTTAATGCTATCATGACAGTATATTTTTACCCTTCTTTCATCTAACTTGCTTCCGTGCGCTATAGGTAGAACCTATAAAATTTTTTAAAGGCTTTAAATGTTTAATTTGTAATTATGTATTTGCTTAGTGATTTAAATGGTTTGTTTCTTAAGTTAGTTTTAGGATTAATTCCTTAACCACACTTAGTTTATTTGAATTGTGTGATTTTTGGATAACACTTAGGGCAAGTGTTACAGCTCCTAACCTTACACTACTAGTCATGTGATTTTGAAACACATTTTCATATGCACATGTTCAAAACACTATAAATCATGCTTTCAAGTATTCAACCATATTCCAAATCACATTCTAACATAATATAAACCTACTTGGCAACACATACTTTCCAAAACAATGTTTATCTTTAAGTACCCTTTGTTCACAACATAAACATTTATATCAAAATTTCATACCATCAACTACAAGTCACACAACATAACAAGTTAGAGTAGTTACCTTCACTCCTTACAAGCAAAGTTTTCTGAATAAGTGAACATAAGAATAGTTGCCTACTATAGTGTTAACACCACAATATACACAACATAATAATGCTAATTTACATTAATTAATGCTACTTATAGTGAATTGCTACATAATCACACACTAACCCTAAAGTTAGATTAATTAATCTCATTAACCTAACACATCTTATACACTTATATTATCAAACTTAGTCCTAAAAATCCTTATTATATACTCCTCTTGTATAGATTTAACACCTAAAATTTGAAATTATCAAACAAAGTGTCATTTTTGAGCCTAGGGTTTTGGATTTAATTATCCTATAATCATAAACAACACCAAAATTATCTAAACAACCTTTATTTAACCTTAAACAATACTTAAAATTTAGATTTATAGGGTAGGTATCTCTAAAAACAAAACCCTAACACTCAAATGTGATTAAACCTTTGAAAAAAGAAGATTAAAGGGTAGTAGGAAGAACAAACAAGCTTACTTTGGAAATTTAGAGCCTTAAATTTGTGCCTTAGAGTTAGGAATCTTCAAACCCCAATAGAGCTTTGAAAAATCACACCCACAACTCTCAAAAACTCCTTTTCTCTGTTTCTGTACTTTTATTAGAGTTTTAAATCAAAGCACACTACTTGATGTGATAGAAAGTGCAAAACATAGCACTTTATTTTTAGCTTCACACCACACCAAAACAATGATTTGCTCACAGCATATTTCTATGAGAAAACACCCAAAATTCTATGAGAACATCAATTTTCATAGAATTTCTCACGCCAAAAGGTCTATCACTAAAACAATTAAAGAAAAAAATATTTCGTATGAACAAAACTATGAGAACTATTTCTGATGCCATTATTTATAGGAAGTTCTCACAATATTTGAAACCTTGAGACATTGTCATGAAATGGTTCTGAGAGAAATTCTTTTAATTTAAACATGAAACAATTTTTTACATGTAAATGGCATGAAAATTTCTCTCATATTACGATGTTGTGAGAATTTTCTATAACCATTTTCTATGAAAAATTCTCACGTGCAACAAATATAAGAGAATTTCTTTTGAAATATTTTTGAGAGAAATTCATTAGTCTCTCATAATAATGTATTGTGAGAAACATTACAACTACTGCCACGTCACTTGCCACCTTGCACCATGCTAGCTACTACATCCCACTTCACACAACACCTCACACCACATCAGGCACCACATGTGCATCTTGCTCATGCCACATCACTTGCCACCTAGCACCATGTCACTCACCATGTGTGGGTCAGCTCATACCATGTCATTTGCCATGTCACCACCTTATATGCCACATGTTACTTTCCACCTCATGTTATGTCACCTCCTTATGTCATGTTATTTATTTGTTGCAAAATATGCTAATGTCAAGACTTGAACTCTTGACCTTTCACCTTCCAAGTCTTATGCCCTTCTTCTTTATTAGTTAAATTGAAACACACCTACAATGATCATATGTGAAATTAAATATATATTAACTTCATACACATATATTAAATAATATACTACTAAAAATATATACATATATTATATTTTATTTTCAATGAATAATATAATAAAATAATTCATATGACTATTTATATTATATTTTAATAAAATATTATTTTTATCAAAAAATGTTATTTTCGATATGAAAATGAACTTAAAATAAAGAAAAAAATTTTAAATATTAAATAATTTCTCATAAATATTTTAACCAATTTATAAATTTTATTTTAATTTTTAAATTAAAATAATTAAATATATAATTTATTTATAATATGTATTATATTAGTTTATGTTAGTGACCAAAACAAAGTTTATGTTAAATATCTTTTACTTTTATTTCCCCATATTTTTCTCAAAATCTAATAAATGAATGGTTAAATTTTTATCTTCTTCCAAAATGGTTAAATATTTTCCTTCCATTCTTAAAAATAAATTTTATCAACAATTTTTCAATTATCTTAAAAATTATGTTAATAAAAAATTAATTTTAATCATATAAATTTTGTTAATAATCATTTTAAACAATTTTTAATTTTTAATTAATACCAATAGCTCACAATATAAAATAATTATAAGAATATCATATGTGATTAATCTAGATAATCTCTAGTCATTACCTACCTCAAAATAATAAGCCAAAGAAATCCAGGCCACGCCTGAATAGTTGAATTCTTTTTTATTATTAATAAAATAAAATTTAATTATTTTTTATTTAAGGATATTAGAAGCTTTTGGAGAAAAAAGTTTGTTGGTATTTTTGTACTTTATTGTAAAAAGAAATATGTACTTAAATAACTTTCTCGCACCCATTATCAATGAGAATTTCTCACACTTAAATAACTTTCTCACACCCATTATTAATGGGCTAGTAGTTGTGCCTAATTTAGACCAATACCTATTTTGGACTTTATTTAACCTCTATACATGTCTCTTAGCTCAATTTAGTCTATACTTAAGTGCCTAAACTATCAATAAATCTCAATTATCCTCAAACAAAAAGTTATTTCTAAATCAAACCCGAATTAACAATATCTCTATTTAATTCCTTTAATCCAACCTTAATAAAAATATAAATTCTAAAGTAAAATCCTTAATTAAATCCATATTTTTCATAATTAAATTCATATTAAAAATAAGATTAAAAATAAGATGTTACACGCAGCACATGACCATGGGCAATATATATTTGTATGCTTAAGTACAGTATTGTCGTCTTTATAGTATATAATGGTTTTGCTTCTCTTTAATTTATGGCATAGATTATATTCAAGATGACAGTTAAGCTCCAAAATTTTAAATTAGTATAACAGTTAGTTTTTTTTTGATAAAAAATAACAATTTAGATTTTCAATTACAGATAAAACATGTAAGTTTTAAATGTAATTCTTGAATTATAGTAGAAATTTTGTCTGAATCAGTATTTACAATTTATTTTTTTAAAAAATTTGTTAGAAACTTAAGTGTTGCTAATTTAATATTTTTGGAACTTAGCCATAATTTTCCTTGTTTTAGAGTCTAGAGATATATTTTCAAAATAAAATTTTGAAGACATGAGAGACAAGCCTCGTCATCACATTGATTATTTCACTTAGTAATGGTATAGTTTTTCCACGGCCATACAAAGATCACGCACAATTAACATCACATTCATATCACAAAAATTGCTTGGGCCCAAAAAAATAATTACAAATAAATAACACAATCTCTTCCTACCAAAAAAAAATAATAATAATAACGCAATCTCTGGATGAACCATGGCTCAATAAACAGTTTTGAATATGATATGATGCTAAAAAGAAGAAGCTCAGAGAAGAAATACATTCTAGTTTTATTCCTCAATCATCAACTGACAAGTATAAAGTATAGAAAATGATTGAAAATTGCAAGAAACAAAGTAACAGAATGATAACCGAAAAAGCAAGAGAGAGACGCTCAGAGAGAAAGTGCACATAATATTCTTCCTGTCTCGCCTCTCGTGCTTTTGTTTCCTATATAGCAACCTGATCCCGGACCTTCCACGTGGCCCTTCTCTGCCTCGTGCTTCTTCTAACCTTTAGCACTCTTGAGTCATTGGGCTGAATGGATGATCCAATACCCTGTGGCCTTCGCATTATAACATCACTCGCCTCATCAATTTGGACCTTGGCCTCAAGGTCAAAAGTAGGAAAATCCTATAACAGCTGACTCATGGATTCCTAAGTAAGCTCATCACGACCATCCCATCGGATCAACAGCTGATTAACTGAAGTCCCTCAAAGTTTGACTTGACACACTGGCACTACATCCACAGGGACGACGAAGAAGCCTGATGCATCCGAATGAAAGCGAAGAGAAATTAGAGGGGGTAGTGTAGTCCCGACAAACTTCTTGAGCAAGGAAACATGAAATACTGGGTGAATGTGTGCTGTTTGTGGAAGTTCTAGCTTGTATGCGACAGAGCCTATGCGCTGTAAAATTCAAAAAGGTCCAAACCAGTGAGGACCCAACTTCTCATAATGCTGTAACTTGAGAGAGTGTTGTCTGTAAGGCTGTAATTTGGCCTAAATGAAGTCATCCACAGCAAAATCTACTTCGCATCTATGACGATTTGCAAACCGCTTCATACGCTCTTGAGCTTTTCGAAGATTATCTTTCAACTGGTTGAGGATTTAATCTTGAAGAAACAAGTGAGCCTGAATGTTAAGGGCTTCCCATCCTGAGGTTCCACCTTAATAAGAGATGGAGGATCTCGACCATACAGAGCTTGAAAAGGAGTCATGCCAATAGCGATTTAAAAGGATGTATTATAAGAGAATTCTGCCCAGGGAAGGAAGGAAAGCCACGCCTATGGATTATCCATAACATAACACCGCAAATACATCTCCAAGCAATGGTTTAACACTTCGGATTGACCATACGATTGGGGGTGGTAGGCCAAACTCATCCTCAATTCAATGCCTTGTAGCTTAAACAAGTGACACCAAAAAGCACTGGTGAACACTTTGTCACGATTAGAGACAATAGAACGGGGAATCCCATGCAGCTTAACTACAGTAGTTAAAAAGGCAGAGGTGACTTGAGCAGCTGTAAAATTAGCTTTTAGAGGAGCAAAATGGCCAAACTTGGTTAAACGATCAATAGCCACCATAATGACTGAAAAACCCTTAGAAAGAGGTAACCCAACAATGAAATCCATAGCAATATCCTCCCAAACTTGAGTTGGAATCAGAAGTGGATAGAGGAGACCTGCCGGTTGCATCTGTGAAGACTTGGCTCACTGGCATACAGTACATTGCTGAATAAAACATCTAATGTCCCTTCTCATATGAGGCCAAAAAAGAGTAGCTAACCGAGCATGTTTACGTAAGAGTCCAGCATGATCGCCAATAGGAGAAGAATGGAATTCTTGCAAGAGAGGAATGATTAACTCTGGTTCATTTGCCGGTAATACTAATCGTTGCTACCAAAAAAGAAGTCCATCACGGATTGAGTAACCAGGCATAGTTGCAGGGTCCGTGTGGTATTTAGTAGTCAATCCTCGCAAAGCTTTAGAGTGGCAAATGCACTGTACCAATTTCTCCAAGAAATCAGAATTTATGACCGTATAAGCAGCATACGTCACATGCGATAGAGGACCTGCAGCAACATTTGATTTGCCAGAACGAAACTCAATTGTAAAATCATAGCTAAGTAGCTTAGGAAGACAGGCCTGCGGCTCAGGCATTTATATAGTCTGAGAAGTGAGGTAAAGGAGGCTGTGGTGGTCGGTACGGACCATGAACTTATAGCCATAGAGATAATGGCGAAACTTAGCCTCAGCGACAGCCAACAACTCCTGGGCGTAACCTGATTTAGCTTGAAGCCGAGGCTATAATTGTTTTGAGAAAAATGCAATAGGATGCCCTTGTTGGCTGAGAACAGCGCCGATCCCCACCCCCGATGCATCAGTTTCTAATACGAAGGGGCGAGAAAAATCTGGTAAACCAGGTACTTGAGCTGTGGATAAGGCCCATTTAAGTAAGTCAAAAGCATCTTGGGCCTGAGGAGACCAAACAAAAGAGTCTTTACGTAAAAGCTGAGTAAGTGGGCTGGTGAGCTAAGCGTAATGGTGGATAAAACGGCAATAATAACCTATTAAGCCCAAAAACGCTCAGAGTTGTGAGACACGGGCAAGAATGGGCTGCTCTTGCACATCCTCAACCTTTTGCATATCCATAGCCACTCCATGCACAGACACCAAGTGCCCTAAATACTCAACCTGAGATTTCCTGAACATGCACTGAGAGAGTTTCGCAAAAAGCTTATGGAGGCGTAATAACTCCAAGGCTATCAAAAGATGTTGTAAATGTAATTCCTATGAAGCACTGTAGACAAGTATATCGTCAAACAAAATAAGAATAAACTTGCATAAGTAAGGACGAAAAACATCATTCATGAGGGATTGGAAAGTTGCTGGCGCGTTGGTGAGGCCGAAGGACACATAGTGCCCATGATGGGTACGAAAAGCGGTCTTAAATCGATCTTCAGGTCTGACTAAGATTTGATGATATCCCAAGCGTAAATCGAGCTTTGAGAAAAATTGAGATCTGTACAATTCATCAAGAAGCTCATCAACTGTAGGAACTGGATGTGCATCCTTAACAGTGACCACATTAAGAGCACGGTAATCATTACAAAATCACCAGGTGCCATCCTTCTTATGAACTAGAAGCACAGGGGCAGAAAATGGGCTTTAACTAGGTTGAATAAATCCAGAGTTCAACATCTCAGTGAGCTGACGCTCAATCTCCTCCTTCTGAATAACAGGGTACCTGTATGACTGGACATTGACCGGCGGAATATTCTGCAACAATGGAATGGAATGATCGTGAGAACGAGGAGGAGGAAGTTCTGAAGGAACCTGAAAGATGTCACTGAAAGAGTACAGTACTGCTGATAAATCCAATGGGGTAGAAGGAGAAATGGCCAGGTTCGAAACAGCAGTAGAAACAGTTATGGCGTCGCAGCTAAGAAGAAAACATTCTGAGATAGCGTCAATAATTGATAAGCGACGAAGTTGATGAAATTGAGAAGCACGCAATAAAGGAGAACGGAATCCTTGCAACATAATGAAGGAATCATTTATGAAACATTTAAGGGTAGCCGTGCGGTAGTTAACCATATGATCCCTTAATGTGGCAAGCCAGTCGGCACCAATAACTAAATCAGAGCTTGCAATCTGTAACAAACATGTCAAGAGTAAGCAAGTAACCATTAATGGAAATGGGCAACTCTTTAACAATGCCGTCACCATCCATATTAAACCCATCACAGATTTGAACCTTAAGCGGTTGGGACAATGATTTCATAAGAAGCTTGAGGTGATGAACAATTTGAAGATGTATAAAACAATCGAAAGAACCCCCATCAAGTAGGATTTGAATAGCCAAGCCATGTAAAATCCCCTCAAATCGAATCATACAATGGCCCCCCGATCCTTGAAATGCCTGTAAGGACAAATGATGTAAAGTAGAGGGTGCAGCTGGTATGGCCTCCGGAGAAACAATTGGAGAAGGTATGGCCTCTGCTACAACGTAAGTAGAAGGAACTACCTCATCCTCCTTTGAGATCATCATAAGCAATTGACAATTAGGACATTTATGGTTCCAAGAAAATTTCTCGTCACAGTTATAACACAACCTTTTTTCCTGCCGCAGCTACACTTCAGCAGGGGAAATATGGCGAACAGGACTCTGGAGCTTGAAAGAAGGAGTCAATAACAAATCAAAAGATGAGGAAGTAGTAATACTGTCAACTTTAGAACCAGTGGAAGGTGTTGGACTGAAACCCGAACTTGAAGCACGAGTAGTTGGAGAAATCGACGAAACAACCTTCATGCGACCACCGACGGAAAGATGGCAATTGCTTTTCCACATAAAGGCGAGCCAAAGCAATAACATGGAGTAGTGAAGGAGGCTCGTGAGATACAACTTCATGTTTCAACTCAGCTGGAAGGCCACCAATAAAACAGTCCTTAAGCATAGCATTATTCAGACCGTCCACCTTGTTGGCCAACATCATAAAATCATGATAATAAGTCTCAAAAGAGTCCGGCATAGTGAGCTTAAAAAGTGTAACATGAGGGCAATCAAATTTGGAAGGACCAAAATAATCTTCCACAGCATGGAGTAAATCAAGCCAAGATTGAATCTGACCAAACTTGACAAGCATCTGAAACCATGGCACAATATGATCATCAAAGTGCACTGAAGCAACCATTAATCGGTGCGAGTTAAGAGGTATCATAATAACAAAAGAATGGTTCAGCTCAAAAAATCCAATTAAGAGGGTCAGAGCCATCAAATCGGGGAAAATCGAGCTTGATCTGGAGGAAAGGAAACTGGTGATGCAATGGCGACGGTGGTTGAAAAGACGACTCCTGAGACAACTCAGGCATATTATCCAAATGACAACCAAATGATTCCAGTTGTAATGTGAGAGTGCGTAAGGTGGTATCCAAATGTTCGAGACAAGAGTCCGTGAGAGTCGCCCATTCAAGAGAAGCAAGGTGAAGTTCCTCCAGCAAATCCTGAACCTGCTTGAGATCATTAGTAAGAATAGCAAGACAAGTACCATCAACCATGGGAAGGACAACAAGAGCACCAATGATATGATGCTAAAATGAAGAAGCTCAAAGAAGAAATACGTTCTAGTTTTATTCCTCAATCATCAACTGACAAGTATAAAGTACAAAAAATGATTGAAAATTGCAAGAAACAGAGTAATAGAATAATAACTAAAAAAGGAAGAGAGAGACGCTCAGAGAGAAAGAGCACATAATATTCTGCCTGCCTCGCCTCTCGTGCTTTTGTCTCCTATATAGCAACCTGATCACGGACCCTCCACGTGGCCCTTCTCTGCCTCATTTTTCTTCTAACCTTTTGTACTCCTAAATCATTGGGCTGAATAGAGATCCAATACCCTATGGCCTTCACATCATAACAGAATCTTCTCAATTCAATATTAATAGAGTATGTAACTTCCGAACAAATTCGTCAAGGTTATCTTCAAGTCCAGTGACTGATAACAATTGTCTCCATTTATTATGATTATTTCTGATCTTTTGACTTAATTCACTGTGACTATCCATTACCACTTTCACAGCCTTGCACGCACATTCCCCCGTGAAGACTCCATCTTCTTCTCCTCTCTCTACCTCCACTCCCACTTCCAGATCTCCACTCATGACTTTTGAATTAATGAATTGATCTCCAAAATTAGGTATCAGTACTAATTGGGTCTCACTACATAATGCTTCTGTCATAGACCCAGATCCACAGTGACTCAGAAAACAACCCACAGAAGGATGATTTAACATTAAAACCTGCTGAACCCAACCTCCATAAACCACCCCTCTTCCCTGTACTCTTTCAGAAAACCCTTCAGGCAATGCTGATTCAATCGTTTTAGCTCCCATGGGAGGTTTCAGTGCAGTTAGAAATGTCATACCTGTGAGTTCAAGACCTAATAGCAGTTCTTGAAACTGATCTTTCTTTAGAATACATTCACTTCCAAATGCACCGAAGATCATTGATCTTGCACTGAATCTTCCTAGCCATTTAACCCATCTTTCTTCCAAGGTTGGATTTGGCAGCGGATCAGGCAAAACTGGTCCTGCCAAAAAGATTGGCTTGGCAGATTGCCTTTCAAGGTAATCAATGTAAGGACCTTCCATTTCCTTGCTTGCTTTGAAAACAATTGCGTCACAGTGAGTGAATGAGATCACACTTCTCTCCACAAATGAAACTCCATTCTCAGGTTCCTTCACAGTCATTTTGGCTAACATCCTAGATGCATATAGTTGAACCCTAATAGCTGAAGGAGGAAAGCTAGGCGAAGGGACCATGTAATCAGTTTCTGTACAAGCAGGTTCTTTAAGGAGCTTCCTTTCAGGACTTAACAGATAGGCCACAGAAGCAGGGCTTATTGTGCAAAAATGCAATGCCTTGATGATTTTTAAGCGACGTGCCAACTGAGGCATCCAGTGTTGAAAGTCGAAGAAGATGAAATGGGGTTTGAGATCTCGAAGAGAAGCTTCAAAGAAAGGCTCAGTGAGGTCCATGGCCTTCAAGAGAAGGAACTGTGACGAAAATGGCACATCATGGGTGGTTTCAGAACCAGAAGGGAGGCCATCAACGTGTGGGACGTTGATGGGAATGAAGAAGATGAGATGTGGATGAAAATTGAGATGCTCCAATTTGGATGATGTGTTTTTTGGTACGAAGAAAGAGACCCTGTGGCCTCTCTTGGCAAGCTTGTTGGCCATGTGAAGAAATGCAGTAAGGTGGCCCAGCGCAAGCCATGGGGTCATTGCTACGTGAAAGGTTTGGTCTGCCATGATGGATGAATGAAACACCACGCTAAGCTATATATATACAAGCCCTTCTTCCAACACCAAGAATTAATGCCTTCCAAAAGCTCCTTTATATAGGACTAATGAAATTGGCGAATGGCAATTTGATACGCACACAATAATACATATCAACTTTGGGCGAGAATAGCACTTAGTAAGTTCCCTATAATGTTTTGAAACTTAAATCCTCTAAACAAGAGAAATATCATTTTAGTCCCAAAAAATATTAATGGAATTAAAAATTAAAGGAAGATGATAATTAGGTTCAAAAGATTGATCTAATGACAGTTAAATCTTGACAAATTTTTGAAAATGAATTGCAAATATAAATTTAGATAAATAAAAATCTAGAGTTTGAAATATAAATATTAAATGTAACGTTTTATCTTTGTAAACAAACTAAATAAAAATAACAATTTTAAAAAAATAGCCATTCCCAGAAAGAAGAAATGTATCATTTCTCAAGTCAAAGAAGTAGGTTATAAATTTATGACTAGACATGTGGTTCAAATTATACCACCAACCCTCTACACGTATGATTCTACAAGCATGCGACGTTAACGATTCTAAGCCTGGGACGATGACCGAGTAAGGCTTTTGTCTTGTGGCTAGGATTAATTTAAAAAATAGTCCACAAAAGGACAATTAATGTCTCAAAGGAAAGGTGGCTCATAAATCTCTTATTTAAAAATTTATTGCCCCAAAGTCCCTGAATTGTTTGCAAGGACCCTGGTCCCTGAGGGGTTAAAAATAAAAAAAAATACAAACAAGTCCTAAAAAAAATTAATTATTATAAAGTTCATGGACAATTAAATCAAATTACATTAATAACTGACTGTATTGTCAATATAATTTAATTTAATTATTAATGAACATTACAGTAATTAATTTTTGAGACTTTAATATAATTTTTCCTTAAAAATATGACTGCTAAATGATTAAAATATCCTTAATGATTAAATTGGAAAAAAGAAAAAGAAAGAAAACGTTGAAAGTTTTTCGCACTCAATCTCCAGCTTCTTGCCGTCGAAAATATCCAAGTTTGTGATTTTGAATAAGTGGCTTATATTTATTTTTCAGGATATAACAATAAATTTTCTTGAAAAACAGTCACTAATAAAAGTAAAGCTTATATGTATTGCCTCTTATATAATGGTTACTGCTGAGCTAGGTTTGGATGAGAGTGGACAAATGTACTTTCTCACTTTGGAATAAATTAAAAATAAGGTATGTAAATTTTATAATTTTGCCTCCTAATCTTGATATTTTACATCCTCAAAATTTTAAAAAAATATTTTAATTAAAAAATTTATTAGATATATAATATTTTAACGATTGATATAAGATACGAAAAAATATATTTACATAAAAGATTATATTATCATGCATCTTGGCTCTGTCACTGGCGATCATTACAAAAACAGTTATATAGTTTTTTTTTGGGTAAAAAATAAAAAAAGCGGTTATATAGTTAAACTAAGATTTCCAAATAACTTCTATTTGGACCAAAAAATGAGCTATTGGACTGGATTAGTCATTGTGAAGCCCATGATGAGTGAGTGTAGATCACAGACCCAATATGACGGATGCCTAAAAGGCCAGACCTCAAAGGAGTTTTTAGTGAAATATCGCATTACAAGTGTCGAGCCTCCATGAAAAGGTTTATGGCTGCAAAGGAAATAAATAAAACAGACGTACGGTAGAATAAACAACAAACTTAAAAAGAACCAATTAACTATACACTAGTTCATGGGTAGTGGCTACCTATTTTCTCACGAGAATATGCCAATATTGTCTCTCTAACTCATATTTTGTTGTGGTAGTGATACTCATCTAGCTTCTAAACATGGCAATGGCTTGATAGTTATTTGCAGCATAAGAAAATTCCGCTTGAAACTTTTTTAAATATCTTGCCAGACTCAAGGGATATCTGATCCCTATATTATTCTTAGCTACCCTTTACTTTATGCTTTTGTTGGAGTGAGGTCAACTCTGCTTTGCCTTGCCTTACCTTGGCTGCACTTTCTCTTTCATTCGGAGGACCAATTACCACTCTATATGGAAAACTCCATGGCCAAGACTTTCTCTTACTAGCTCTAGCAATCAACTACTTCTAGGTTCCTCAAAAAACTCTCACTACTCTCAATAACTGTTCTACTAGCATGCTATCATTGAATCATCATATCAAGGAATCACATCTTAAAATTTATTACTTGATAGAGTACTCCATTTATGTACTTTACATACATTATATCTATCTTGTCTAACCCCAAACTTTAGTTATCTAAATATATGAGAAAAACATATTCATTCTATTATACCATTTATTGGTATATCACTCATCTTTAGCATCATTGTCCCTTTCTCTTTATTTTCTTCCCAATAAATTCACTGGAATTAGCTGGCTTATGTTTCTTTTCTAACCTTTCATGTCTTGGACCATTTCCTATTCATATGGTCACATCCATGTTTATTATTATACGTTCTGAACATAACACTTAGCATACATAAATGACTCAATTCAAATATTCAAACATTTTTGTTGAGCTTGTAGTACAGTTAGGCATCTAACCCGTGATCAATTATACTAAACCTAACATGACCACAAATCTAGAGCAACTATATCATACTCATAACTTTTCTATAATCACACTTGTGTAATATCTATCTCTATTCTCATATGGACTTTGCTTGGATCTGCTTTGATATCAAAATGTCAATTCCTCACTTTTAACATTTATGCAACTAAAAGTGATATGGTTTAGGAGAAATGAAAATTGAAGGTCATAAATTAAAATTTACAAATTAATTGTCTGGTTACTCTGTGGCTCAACAACTTTTTACTAGGTGTATTGTGATCATGAAATTAAACTACAATTTCATTGAACCTTTTTGAGATCTACTATGATCCATAAGATCTAATTGTGATGATTTTCTAGAAGACTTATGATATAAAGATAAAGTTGTCAAATAGCTCTACCTCTATTTAATTTGGCAACTTTACCACAAACAAACGTTGTACATAGTCATACCATGCATATAAGGTATTACATAGTCATACCATGCATATAAGGTATTAAACTGCACAAGAGCATTATACTCTTCTTCAGCCGCCAAATGCCACTTAGGATTAGCCAAGGCTTCCTTAATAGAAGATGGGCAAAAAGGAGTATTTAAAGCTGCATGATAAATTTTAGGCTTATAAATTCAAGCTTTGACACGGGTAATCATAGGAAGATTGTTATTAGAAATATGAGAGAGTGGTAGAGGAGTTGAGGTGTGCCCTTTTGAATTAACTTCTGTGGGAGAAGGAATTGTTGGTGAATGAGATGATTATGGTAATACAGGTGAACTAGGTAAGGAAGGTGGAGTAGTAGGTGTGGGAGAAGAAGCTGTAGGAATATGAGAACGTGGAATAATAGTAGATTGAAGGGAGGAGGTAATATTGGAAGGAGATGAGGAGGCTTGAGTTCTGACACTATATATATTGGGAGTTGGATAAAAAAGGCATTTTCATCAAACCTGACATGCCGGGAGGTATATAGTTTTCCTGTCACTGGATCTAAACACTTATAGCCCTTATGTTATGAGCTATAACTAAAAAAAAAAATACAGGCAGTAAAGCGAAAATCCAGCTTGTGAGAATTACAAGGCTGAAGCCAAGGTTAGCAAACAAAACCAAAAATTCGTAACATAGATTAGTCAGGAGCTTTACCATACAATTTCTCACATGGACTAATACCATGTAAAGGTTTAGAAACCATTTTGTTGATGAGAAACACGGCCGATGCAAACGCATGAGGCCAATAGAACAGAGGCAAAGAAGCTTGGGCAAGAAAAGCAAGTCCTGTCTCAACTATTTGTGGATGCAATGACGAAGTTAAGATCTGGAGTCAGAAGGTATTTGACAACTCAATTTAAAAATTAATGATTGAAAAACTAATATAATAATTTTAAAAATAATTTCATTAAAAAATATAATAAGTAAAATTATGTATATTTTCATATAGAACAAAATATGTTGAGGATTTGTTTAGGCAAAAATGTGCTAAACAAAGTTGATATAGAGTTTAAGTTTGCAAGAAAAGAAAACTTTTACCTAAAAAGATGACTTAACTTGAAGTGGTTAGATTTTATTATTCAAAATTCTAAAACTAGGGTATAAGATTGTAAATTTTACACACCCCTTATGTGTAATTTTCTTTATGTGAGGTGGCGCATGCATGTGGCTCTACCATTATGTCCATGCCTTCTTTCAGTAAGTCCATTTTGCTTTGAAGTGTATGGACACGTTAGTCTATGCTTTGATACCATACAGTAATATCAGAACAATCAATAAAAGAGAGACAAACTCAAATTTAGTGAATATTCGTCCCATTGAATTGAGTAGTCTTGCGTTACGATTTGGTATTTAAACACTACAAAGGGTTTCACCAGAGTCCTAACTAAACCTGACAGATCTAATTAACAAACACAGGTAATCTGTTACAGGATTATTGGGCTAAGCCCAACATATAGGCCCATATCATAACTCAAATATTTCTACAGTATTTCAATAATATGAATTCTTCAATTGGCATTAATACATTCATAAGGTACGTAATTGTCATTTACCACTGAAATTGTTGCATAGAAATAAAAATAATAGAATGACTATAAATCAAACCAAGAGACTACTAGTTGTAAGTGAAATGAATCTCTACAATCAAAATCTTTTTACATATCGCGAAGGTTTAAACACTTGATCTCTATCCGTAATTCTAACACCAAGTAATTTGCAATAAATTGCCTATGATCAATTAAAATGAACAAAGGAAGACTTGTAAATATAATTTCCCAAAACGATGTGTAAATGATAGCATCTCATGCACGTCCACAGCCTCACATATTTCATCCGTAATGTAACTGGTTTAATAATTAAGTGAAAAAAAACATAAATAATGAGATTTTAATTATTTTACTTTAATTTTTAATTTCATTGAAGTTTCAACAAAGTCCGTGTGTGCACACTTTTTTTTTTTTTTCATATCTCTTCCAATTATAACTAGCTGATTACCTTTTTAAGTGTATTGTTTTGATTTGATTATTTATCGATGATGGCTTCAAATTTCAAAACTTCGCCACTTTGATGCTCCTTTATAAAGGAGCTTTTCTGAAGGCTCATAGTCATAATAACATAAAGGAGCGGGTTACAATGAGAAAGCCACAATGAGAGATTTTTTTTATCTTTTAATTTTATAAAAATATTTTTAATTTTTTAATCTTAACATTATTAACATAGGGTGGAGGGAAGGTGGACTAACAGGGCACAACTCTTTAAAATATTAATTTTTTTTTGATATTATATAGATGTCATCTACTTCCTATTCCTTAAAATTTAAAAAAACTTTGCAATCCTAGCTCCATCCCTTATAGTTAGTTTCATCAATCAAAAAAAGAAAAATTCATACATTGAAATTTTAAATAGTGACAAAACATTTTTAAAAATTGATATATTAAATTTAATTTTTTAAATAACAATAAATGATATAAAAATAATCATTTGAAACTAATTAGAATTAGAGAATTAAAAAGATATTTTATAAAATTAGAAGATTAAATTAAAATTTTATATAAAATTAGAGGATCAAAGGCACACTTATAACCAAGTCATCATCATACCATTGAAATAATTAAATAACAAATAGACAGAAATAAAATAATAAGTGATAAAATAAATTAAACCGCTTAAGTGTAAATCATAAAATTGCATCCTGTAATAATTTAATTAACATCAGTTAGAAAGCGTGGCATAGATATATACCATTGACACTGGATTTTAAACACTAAGAAACACCCCAATGGCGTAGATAGATAATAAGCCAGTGCACTGCTTCGTGCTTTCTTCATCCGTGAGCTTTCTCTTGTCCGTTTACGTTCTCACAGATACCTGATGATCTGATGATTCATTATCAGAAGAAGAAACAGATTCCTGATTCCAACCTCTGAAATCTGAACCCGCAGCAAATGACTACTTTATCTTCTGCATGTAGCACTTGGCTCTTGATGTGAATAGATATATACAATCCATGCATGTATATATAATAATAAAAAGTAAGCGAAAATTTGAAATAAGGACCAAGAGACGATGACATAAGACTTGAAATTGCATTGCAGATTCTTGTGGTCTGCAAATGAGTTTCAGGGCGGTCTTCAAGAAGAGTCTGCAATATAATGTGCTTTCAAGACCTGGTCCTTCCTATTACATACGATTGTCTCTTGGTCCTTAATTTTTAAAATTAAAGAGGGACATGGTTGGAAAAATTTAAGAAAAAAGTAAATCAATATATATATCTTTAATCAAAAAAAGATCAAAGAAATTTAGTGTTAATTCATATAAGGGTTCAAAATAATCCTAGAAGAAAGTATTTAATTAGCTACTCATAACCATTCAAAGTTACAAATATATAAAATTATCACAATGGGAGAATTAAGGAATTAAAAAGTCAAGAAAATGGAGCTCCAAATGCCTTTCAAGTTTTGGTCTTTTGCTTTCAACTCTTTTTAAGTCCAAACCCCAATACACATAGCTCCCAAGATGTCTCGAAGTCTCAAGAATCACATCCCAAGTCAAAACAAATATTGATATCCTTCCATGTCTAACTTTTTCAACTAAGTAAAATGCTACATTTTGTTGTTAGTGGGTGGAAATCATAACTTCACTTCTACATAAAAGACTTTTTACACTAGTTGCAGAACCAGTGTAGAAATAGAAAGTTATTGAACCGGTGTGGAAAGTGACCATTTCAGTTTGCAAAGGAAACAAGGGTAAAAAGTTTACTATCTTCACCAGTTATGTACACTTTTTCCTCTTGGTGTGAATATGCACTTTGCATCTAATTTCATCATTTTACAACCTTACAAAAGCTTCACCTAATTATCCGATTGGCCAGCCAACACATTTCTAAACTTAAAGAGCTAGAAAATATTAAGATAAAGCCATGTGAGCAATCCCAAAACAAAATATATATTTTCTTAACTTGAGTATTCAAAATATGTACAACCATATCAAAATGTATTAAAATTCAAGGAAAATGTGCTGATTTAACATGAAATCCTAGAAGTTAACATAACTAGCTCCTTCCAAATTATTATTTCCTTCAACTTATAAAACAAATTATCCACTAATTCATATCAAAATCAAAGTGAGCAACTAATTATTATCATAACATCAAAAGCAAAGTAATTAACCAATGTGCAAATGGTAAAGCTCTTATAATTCTACCCTTAATTAAGTTTTGCAAACTTGCACATTCTACAACTTATGTACACTAATCCTATAACTTACAGCTCTACACTCGCTAAGAATTAGTTGGCATTGTGCTACGCCCATACTCTGCAACATATACTGACACTGCTCTTTGAATACTTCATTTATCTGAGGATTGTATTCGTAATAAACAAAGTTACTTGAGCAAATTAAATTTATTAATAATATTTTATAAAGAAAATTTTATTGACGTACCTTGTCGAAGATTGTAATCTGGTCATGAATGATATGATATTCTTTATGTTCGTAGCTCATCATGGAAGGTATAAGCAGTTAAGCACCACAACTTCGTTGGGTTGTCCGATCTCATTTATGGCATAGCCTCATCAACTAAATGAAACAAGAGAATTATAGCAGAGCAATCTCCATTACTATACTGATATTGATTGATTGATGATGACTTGACCATTCCCATAAGCCAAAATATTCTCTGCACTCCAAATATTGTATCGCACTCACCAATGGACATCTATACAAAAAAAAGCATCTGCCAAATCACATGCCACATAAGAAACACGTGGCTTCCATGCATATATACATGCATGCCTTGTAATGTTTTGCTAGATTCTTTTGTCTTTTATGCATAATCACATTTTTTCGCCTTTTAGTTTGTTGAAAACCTATTTTACCATACTGGTATAGAAAGTTCACTGTACTATAACCAACAACAGAGAATAATTACTCCCGTTATTATTTGTAAGTCACTTTCATTTTACTTCCATTATATTTTACTGAAATCGTAGAAAACTTATAAACTATATCTAAGAATATTCATATTTTAGTAACCCACTTTTTTTCAGTAACATTTAATAGGAGATCAAGAAAGAAATTTGTAATAAAAAGTAAATAATATGACTTATAAATAAAATTAAAAATTATTTTTCTCCCTACCTTATAAAGTAGGAAGGAGTACTTTAAAATAAGTGCAAAGTACAGGTTCAATTCTAAAGTCATGACACTTGAGTTATCGAAATTGTACCTCTGATTAAAATTGTCCTAAGGTGGTTGTCCAACCACTTAATAAATTAAAGGAATCAGAACTAAAATGAAATTAAATTATAAAACAGCTTATCATTTAAACCTACGTAATAAATAGGCAAAAAGATATATAATTCAATAACCAGTCGTATTCAAACTGCCTAAGTAATTAAAAAATCATATTACATCTGTAAGTTAACAGCAACTATATGTTAGAAAAGATGGTAAGTATATACCACATTGACACAAAATTTTAAGCACTTAGAACAAAACGACTCTCTTACTAAAAACCATTAATTTGACAGATCACTATTTTGTTCCTCCACTGCCTTTCTTCTCTTGTCGGTTCTCACAGATTCCTGAGCCCTCATGACATTTCGACCTCTGAACCCATCGCAGATCATATACTATACAGTGAATTAGTTACAAATCGATCGCTCCGAGAATTACATGCATAAATACCTGAATATAAATTTAATTTTTTTTTACCATAAGTATATTTTAAGTTTAATTACAACTTGTAACTCAATGTAAATATTGCGCTGGTGCCATCCATAGATGATAGATCTAGCAAATCGTTACGTGTAAAGGAGAGGAATTCATGGAGATGACATGGCCTCATGATACTCCAGCACGTACGTGTGCCTGTGAACTCTGATTATATATATATATATATATATATAATAGATAGATTGGAACTGTGTCTTACCACATCACAGCCTCGAAGAGCTTAAGCAAAGCCTAGCTAATTCTTTCCTGATCTTCAGTAATGGCATTGGCCTCAAGTTTTCTCAGTCCTTTTGTTACTCCGATTGCTTTTAATCTCAACACTAAGGTAACAACTATCATCGTTTCAATCAGTTTTACGCATTTATTTCATTTCTTTTCTAGAAAAATATTTTTCTACTTGCCGAACATTGCATTAGTATAGTTACGTTTTTTATAATTAATATTTGTGTTTTAGATCACGAGTGGTGGAAATGCGTGGAACAACCTGGGATTTAACAAGTCGGCCGATTTGAAGTTAAACCAAAAGATCCATGCAAAGGGGTTTAGAGTGAATTGTATAGTCCAAATAGAGAAGCCACAGACTGAGAGCAAATCATATTCAGGGGACCAAGTTGATCAAATTGACACTAATGGAGCTCCGACTAGTGGTTTGTGATGTGTTTCTGTATATACTCTGTGTGTGTGTGTGTGTGTGTTTGTGTGTGACTTTTGTTTTTAATTTGTACATATGTTAGTTAATAGTTTTAATTTTTATTTGCAGATCGTCAAAATCAGCCACGCCAGCCCAGTTTGTCCACATTGGTAGTGGATTACCATAATGAATTTGATCCTTATAAAGCAACCTCTACACCAATTTACCAAACTGCTACTTTTAAACAGGTGAAAATTTGATCTATATTAAATCCTGAGCTCTTTAGTAATTGTGTTTGTGTGTGTAGTATCTCTATTCCAATGTGTTTTAAACTAGACTAGATGACGAGCCAGAAAAGATCAGCGGGTCACGTTTATTGTAATTCAACCTTTTAGACCAATGGTCAAACAAGTGATATAATAATCAAATAAAAATAATATTTATATGTATATATATAATATTAAAAATAATGACAATACCATTTTTGACTCAAGGTTGTTTAATCATAATATATTAAGTTCTAATTTTTCTCTTTTTTTTTCATGTCTATATTTTTTTATTTACTGTATTTATGTTTTTAAAGTTTTCAATTTTCTCTACACTTTAATTCATATAATGTCAATTAACAAATCATGTGCTCACATTTTTACCATAACAACAGTTCAAAATGGTCCTACCGTTCTGAGTTTATTCTGGTTTTATCAAAACCAGCCAGTCCAAAACAGTCAGAAACGGGTCAATCCTCAAAACAATTTGATGAGTCAAATCAAGTTACTTTTGTATCTGGATGGCAGTTTAATCGGTCCAACTATCCCAGTCTTAAAACATTGTTATTGCATGATATTGTTTTGAAATCATATGCTTGTCTTCTATACTTTTTTCATGCATGCAGCAATCTGCAATAGAGGCTGGTGAATATATGTATTCTAGAAGTGAAAATCCTACCAGAGATACTTTGGAAAGGTTTGACGTATGGTTTATGTTGTCTTGATTTTGTCTATTTCCTTTTAATTCCATCATCTTTTAATTACTTTTGGCATATTTTTTTGTATGTATCCTCAGGTTAATAGCAAAGCTTGAAAATGCAAGTAAAGCCTATTGCTTGAGTAGTGGAATGTCTGCATTGACTGTTGTTTTTGAACTTGTTAAGCCTGGTAGTTCCTTATCCTAGTCTGCTTCCTTTTTGTAATTCGATGTTTGTCAAGTAGTGCATGTGTGGAATTTTGTCAGTGTAATCTGTACATATGATTAGAGAGAGAGAGAGAGAGAGAGATATATATATATATATATATATATATATAGCCTAATATAAATAAATAATGCTTTATCATGGCTAATAAATACTGAATAATTAAAAAAAAATCAAATCTTCCTTATTATGTAAAGTCAATCATTATTAATAGTCAACAAGCCAAAATTCTCAATCATATCCAATATTAAAAAGAGGCATTTTTGAGTTGGAAAAGTAAAATTTTAAGTTTAATTTGTTTGTAAATATATTGATTACTTCAGATATTAATTATGTACACCGGACACTTAAGCACATATAACAGTATAATAAAGCACGCAAAGAGTCAATTCAGTCATCTATTTAAAAAAAATGAAGTTTTTAAATTAATAAGTTTTATTATTTAACTATTGATGTCAAATGATTTTTATTGCACCTTCACTTTTACCCCAAATACCTTGTGAGATTTTACAGTAATAAGATGATTTATTTAATACCTCTGAAATTGTAATATCAAGAGGTTGTGACTAATTGTGCCTATATATGTATATGCGTATCTTCTCATAATTATTACATGTATACTGAAATAATTTCTTTCTTTTTTATCATTCGTGTAATTTCAATAATGCAGGAGATGAAGTTGTTGCTGTAGAGGATATATATGGTGGTTCACATAGATTCCTGAGCGAACTAGTTTCAAGAAAAGAAGGAGTCGAATTGAAGTAAGTGTGATTTTTCAGCTTTTTGGATATATAATTTTTTAGGATAATAAACTTTTAATCTTTCAAGCTTGGCCCATGTATTAATTTGGTTATTCATATTTTTTATTGATTTATTTTCCTATGTTTTCTTAAATTATCCTATAAAAAAAGAATTTTATTTTCAAATTAATCCTAAAACTTGTTTAGTTATTGTTTATTTAGTCCCTTACGCTGTGCTTGTTCTTTTATTTTTAAAAAAAATTTGATTTTTTTTGCCTAAATAGTTGCACTTCTTTTTGTTAATCTATGTGGTTGCTATCAAAATTCCATTATATTGCTATGTCAACACATTTTAACTGTGTTATCTCTTATCTAAGTAATAAAGATCAAATCAATAACTTTGTCTACAGCTAGTTGATGAGGTTGTAATTATTGATTGCATGCATATAGCCGAATAGATGCAACTGATCTGGAGAAGGTGAAATCTACTCTTGAACGTGGGAGGACTAGGTTGGTGTGGCTAGAGAGTCCTACAAATCCTCAGCTAAAAATATGTGATATTCGAGTAAGTTATAATTTTTCATTCTAAGTTGAAAGTATTTTGTTTTTGTTTTCATTTTTATCAAAATCATGGATGGAAATGGAATAACAAGCAATCAATCAATGCCATTGGTTTTAGAAGAATCCTTTTAATTTTATAGCAGTGCGCATGACTCGAAAGCCAAAATTTCTAGACATTGAATTTCTTTCTCAGGCTTTTTTTTTTGGCATTTCATTTCTAATAATTTTTCTTTCTCATTCAGACTAAAACTTTATTCCTATTCTCTCATGAATAAGGCACTTTGTTTACCTTTTATTTTGTGAACTTTTCTGTCTATAATTGCCGTTATATATATATATATATATATAAGGCTCATTATTATTATTATTTTTTGTGTGCGCGCCCCTCTTCTTGCATAATTAAGAAATAAAGACCCATGACTATATAATTCTTAGAGAGAATGAAGTTGAGTTTTAAACGATTGAATTAATGACAGTTAAGTTTTTAATTTTTTTAAAAAAATAAGTTGTAAATTAAATATAAATTCATACAATTACAAACAAGAATTTAGTTGCAATTGGAGAATTATAATTGAAACTTAAATATCTTATATGGAATTAAAAATCTTGAATTTGTAATTAAATAAGTTAAAAATATTGATTTAGATAATTACAAATAGGAATCTCAATTGTAATCTAGGAGTTACTTGAATTTGTAATTAAATAAGTTGAAAATATCAAGCAATTACAAATAAGAATCTTAGTTGTAATCTGAGAGTTATGATTGAAATTTAGATATCTTATATGCAATTACAAATTTTGAAATTATAATTATTTGAATCAATATTTTCAACTCATTTCTTTGGAAAATTTTGTCTCGAACCTAACTGTTATTAATTTAATCATTTGGGACATAACTATATTGTTCTCCCTAATTCTTATATATATAGTTCTTGCAAGAAACCCAACTTCAAGTAACATGGAGGATATGAAAATGAGGGGTGTGTGTGTGTGTGTAATTCCTTTGAATGGTGTTTAACTGAATGTTAGAAAATTTCATTATTTTATTGATCTGTGTCCAGAAAATTTCGGAGATGGCTCATGAACATGGTGCTATAGTATTGATGGACAATAGTGTGATGTCTCCTGTGTTATGTCGACCATTGGACCTTGGAGTAGGTATATATTCATATTAATGCTTGTATCATTCTAGCAATATGGAGCACTTAAGGTCAGAGGGTTAGCATTTGGTCTCTTATTAATGCTCTTAATTAATTTTGGATAAAAATTCTCTTAATTAATTATTTGAGAGAATGATAGTTAAGTTTCAAAAGAGAAAATAAATGATAATTAGGTCCCTGATAATATTTTTTTAAAAAAAATAAGATACAAATATCAATTTAAACAATTGTAAATTCAAGAGTTTCAATTATGAATGACACATTTACTCCCTCTGGTCCTATGTATAGAGTAGAGAGAAAAAAATTTGGTCTAATTTATAAGCCACGTTATTAAATTTTTATCACAAATTTTCTCTTTTATCCTCCATTGAATGTTGGAGAGAGAAAAATGTTTTTAAAGTATGCATATTTAATGGGGTAAAGTTAAAAACTTATTAAGTTTTAAGATAGAATTAATAAATTTTAAAATTTTCTAAGTACTGTTGAAGTATGTTAAAAATAACTTATAAATAGAATTAAACGAGTAATTCTAAATGTAGCTCTTAGTTTGTAATTAAAATTTTTATTTGCAACTATTTGAATTAATATTTATAACTTATTTTTCAAAAAAGTTTATCAGAAACTTAACTGTCATTAGTTTCCTCTCCTAAGACTTTACTATCATTTTCCTTAATTATTTTCACTTTTAGTGTGGGCGTGAATTGAAGGAAATTTTTGACGCAAAAAAAAAAAAGAGTGTATGTGTGTGTGAATTTAAATATTTTTAAAGCGAAGATTCATGAATTTATGTAATTTTTTCCTTTTTAATATTTTTCCTTATTTATTTTTTTATGAAAACATAAAATCTTCTTTCTCTTAAAAAAATAAACTTTATGAAATTCACAAACTGTATAAACTTTTGAAGATTTAAATAACATATTTTTAACTCCCATTGGAACCAAAGGAATTTGCTGAGAACACCCTACATGTGTTACGCCCCCCCCCCCCCCAAAAAAAAAGGTCAAGAGAAATTTCTATTAATTGATAGTCACTATTTTTTCCCCCCAGATATTGTTGTCAATTCAGCTACCAAATTTATTTCTGGAAACAGTAATGTCATGGCTGGTGTCGTTGCAACAAAAGATGAAGAGTACGTAATATCTTATTCTCAGTAGCACTTTTGTCAATTCTTTAATTATATACCTGGAAGTCGTTTAATTGAATTTCAATTTGGTTGCAAATTTTGTTAATAAGAATGTGATGTATAAGATTTTGTGTGCTTGTGTGATTCTTAGTATTAATTACGAATGAAATAGGACTTTTTGTTGTCTGTTTTTTTTTAAAAAAACAATAGAAATATCTTAAAGTTGTTTTCACTTTATTTTTTTATTTTCAAAATACACTACATTTAATTATAGAAAATTATAATTACATTGATAAATTATTATCATAAATTATCAACATTAATTGCCAATGACCATCATTTTTAGTTGATTTTTCAATTTTAAAACTGTTTTTAAATTAACATAACAAAATAAATTTTTATTTTTTGTTTTTAAAAAAATTTTAAACCTGATTTATAAAATATTTTTTAAAAAAATGACAACCAAAACCAATCAAGCCCAATACTATTATGCACTTTCTTACATTATTTCTTCTTAGTTTCCAAATAGCTTAGCATAAACCATGGTTCAAAGGTTAGGGCCTCAAATGCCTCAATCCTCTAACCCTATATCCTCAATTTTTTCTTTTGAAAATTTGATTAAAAAATAATTTGAATGACAATTTGATATTCTTTAGTCACAAAGTGATACGATTTTATATTTTATAAGGATTTTTCAAAGAAAAATTTCATGAAATTGTGCAATTTTAATTTTGGGAGAGTTACATATAAATCCCACATAAGGAGGCTAATTACTTACAAGTCTCATCCACTTATAAATACTGAATTTTAATTTAACATGTAAATGGACTGAATAAATAATTAGTTTACTTTATTTGGAACTTGTTTGTAATTCTTCCTTTAACTTTTTTGTTTGGAAAATACTAAAACAGAGAAAATTGTAAAGACTTATGTCTGCTAGGTACTATGTCTTCCCCCCCCCCCCCCAATTTATACAGAAGCCAATGGTCAAAAGGACAAAAAAAGTAGAGAGAGAGAGCGAGAAGGTGGTGCATATTATAGGCTCCAAACTACACTGTTCACATTTTAAATTTGTTATTATGTTATGAACTACTTCCTTTTGTATTTTAAATTTCATTTTCATTTTCCATCTATTTTATACATGCATCTTTTATTCAATTAATAATGGGAATATCTGTGTTTTCCTAAATTCTGTTGCCTTTAATTTGATCACATCTGGGAAAGGTTGGCAAGCCACTTAGAGAATCTGAAAAATGCAATAGGCAGTGCCTTATCTCCATTTGACTCCTGGCTTTGTTTGGAAGGAATCAAAACAATGGTCCTTAGAGTTGAGAAGAAACAGGTACCTCATAAAACATTCTAAGTTACTTATAGTTTCTAGTTTGTATATGCACAGTACGACTATTTTCCATCTAATTATTAATTTATTCACCTTACGAACAATCGATTTGATAAATTGATTTATTTGTTTATACATTGCCACTTGTAAAAGAATACATACATACATACATACATACATATATGTATGTATATATATATATATATATATATGTATATGGTTACAAATTAAAAAAAATGAAAACTTTTAGAGAGACTTAATAATATATTCTAAAATATTGGTTTAATTTTTTGTTTGTTTATAATCCTTTTTCATGCTATTCAATCACATCCTTGTACTTGCTGTAACTCATGTCTCATAGATAATATGGTTTGTTTTATGTACGCATTCTGCTGGATTATTATAAAATTTTACAATGTGGTTTTGCGTGAAGACTAAATAACTTTAACTGGATTTTTAATAGTAATTTTCCAACTTCTCCTTGCTCCTGTCCTCTTGAAATCATGTACCACGATCAGAAATTATTGAATAGCCTTCAACAAAGATCCTCTTTTTTTCTTTTTATGAAAGCTCTTAGTTATGATATTAGCTTTTTAATTTCTCATTTTGTCTCATGTTCCTTTCTTATTGCTAAGTTTAAGGTGTCTTAATATTGGTATTGTTTTTAGACCTATCCTATATATTGTAGAACTCTTTTTTACCTTTTTAGTATATTGATCTTTTAATAAATTAAAAAATAAATGGTCTTGAATAATTGTGCTTTTCATATATACTTCTTCTGTTAAAAAATATAAAGCATTTTTAATTAAATCTCACGTGTTAATAAAGTAGTTATTTGTCTTCAAACAAACATTATCGTTTCATATTTACCCCTATGTAATAAGGTGTTTTATTCTAAAATAAATATAAAGTGATTATTCAATAAGAGCACTTTTTTTAAAGGCAATGATTACACCTTACAATACTAAAAATGTCTTATATTTTTAATATCTAATAACTTAAATACCTTATATTTTTGAATGAAGAGAGTATTTGATAGGATATATGATTTACAGCTAAGCTTCCATTTTAAAGTTTGAAGTTCTAACATGTATAGCTTCTTATTGACTAGGTCATTATTTATTCTTATAAAAAGAAACAATAATAGTAAGTTATTAGTGACAACAAATATATTTTGCAGGAGAATGCAAAAAAGGTCGCTGAGTATCTTGCCCAACATCCTCAAGTAAGGAAAGTAAACTATCCTGGTCTTTCTGATCATCCTGGGTATGAACTGCACAACTCTCAGGTACATATGATTTGTCTACCAAAAAAAATTCAACATTAATTTTGGCTGACATGTCTAAATAATGATTTTATATATCCATAAATTGGGTTCTTACTGTTTGGCAGGCAGATGGGCCAGGATCTGTGCTTAGCTTTGAAACACACTCATTTCCACTCTCAAAGCATATTGTTGAGAAGACCGAACACTTTGGCATAACTGTTAGTTTTGGTAAGTGCACTTGATGTAGCTAGGAACATGCATTTTCATATGTAAATTGTCTTCAATCATATACCTATGTTTCCTTCTTATGTATATCTTTTAATATATTTGACATTTATCAGGAATAAAGAAATTTACCTATGTTTCCTTACTCCGAGAGTTATACATCATAGTTAATCAAAATGGTAAATGGTTGGGTGTGATAAAGGGATCTTGTTGCTAACGGTAAATTTAGTGGTTATCATGTTAGAATTATATCGTATGGTGTACCTTTTGATTATGTAATTTTTCTAGTTTTTGATTATTAATTGTTGGTATTATTTTCCTTTCTCTGATCATTGTAATAAGGGCTGATTGTATTGACAATTTTGATTAAGAGATTTAGCTAAAATTAGTTAATGTTTTCAAACTCTAAAAATTACAATGAAAAGTTAGTAAAGGACATTTAAAGGGGGAAAATTAATGCTTTAGAAGAAGAACATTCCATCTGGTTTTATATACAAGTCACTCCTAACTACCACACCAAGACTAAAGAGATGTAGTTAAATTATTAATGTTGTCTAATGAAGAAAAAAATTCTTAGTTTACTCTTGTTAAATGCATCATCTTTAAAAATATTTCTCTATCATACGTAACATTTTACTCTACTTATGAAAAACTTGTGAAACGTAAAATTAGAAGAAAGTAATCATTGATTCATCTTTTTAAGCAAAGTGACTTTTTAAAAAAAAAAAATCATCATTATTTTCTTCTAGAATGTGATCTTATATTAGAACTGGAGGATCTTATGACTAATAAGGATCAAGTGGAGTAATAAATTGTTAGAGGTTTCAAGGATAACTTTGTTCATAATTAATTAGTATATATACATGTTGGAGTTAGTGAATGTTTTATTGCAAAAAATATATAATTCTAACACATATAAATTTGATTGTTGTTTGTAGGGAGTGTAGGGTCAGCAATATGCATGCCCTGGTTTACATCCCATGCCAGCATACCTGAAGCAGAGCGTGAATCCATGGGAGTATGTCAAGAGCTTGTGCGTCTTTCTGTGGGGATTGAGGATCCTGATGATCTTATTGCTGATCTGGACAATGCATTCTCAACTTATCCCACTAAGGTTTCATTTTGGTTTTAATTATGAGGATGTGTAATGTTAATGATGATGACTATGTACTTGTATGATAAATAATTTTGTTCCCTTTTCTTTTGTTGTCTATGTTTTTGCATTGCATTTGGCTGTCAACTACTTCAATTTTACAATTTGGAATAATAATAATAAGCTTGTTCAAGCAAGACATTTTATTATATCTTCTTGTTGCTTAATTTAATGCTTTTAGGTTTCATGGTGATAATTATATAATGATCTGTTTACGTCTAAATTAATCTTATCACCATATAAATACTATTGCTTGATCATTGAATACTGCTTATCTGCAGTGAAAATAGGGAATTTTTTATTTTCTTTTGTCCTGCATGCGGTAGTTTAGAAAATCTTATCTAAACCAATTTTTTATATTTTTTTTTTATTTTTAAAAAATTCATTTCTAAACTAATTATGACAATAACTGGTTTAGATATGGATGATATCTAAACTGGTTATTGTCATAACGAGTTTAGATAACCGGTTTTAAAACTATGTGTGTTTTTTTTTTCAAAAAAAAAAAATCAATCATTATTTCAGTTAACCCAGCCATATTAGGATGCAAATTTGCAAATTAAGGATAATATATACATCCAGCCAGTCAAAATATAATTCAATTCAATCAAATTATTTATAAGATATTTATAATTTCATTTAATATTCAATATCTAACCAGCAACATAATAAAGAAAATCACAATCTTCACCATTAAATCACACGCACAAACAGAACAATCAAGAAGAAAGGAGAGATTCAGATGCGCTTGAAATAGGGGAAGACAATGAACGAGGCACCTGATGGCAACACCCACAGCAGTGCACGGACAGAGGAATGGACGAGCTCTACCCAACATAATTGATGTTGGTGAAGAAAGGAGGACGGGCCTTCAACCTCCCACGCCGACGACACTAAGAATGGAGGAAGGAGTAGCCGAAGGATTGAAAGAAGACACCACAGCAACGGACGGAGTGTAGGGAAGGGAGATTCTGGCTCACCCATAGTAACCGACGGCGAGTTGTATGATGAGAAGAAGATGGGGACGAAGACATGAGAGAAGAAGGAAATGGTGGGTGTTCAGATTTTGGCTTTCACTTTAGCATCTCTCCCTCTTAGACGTTGCTAAGATAAAGAATGGAGAAGTTTCCTGATGCATATTTCACCTCTGCTTCCTTTTTTTAATAACACAGTGGGGCAAAATGTTAATTTTACCAAAGACTGAAATAAAAGAAATAAATTTGGCATATACAGGATTCGAACCAAGAACCGCTAGGATAAATTGTCAACACAACTACCACTATACCAACATTCCATCTTATATCTATGGAAAAAAATTAATAAAAATAGGATAAAAGTACATTTTTCCCCTGATGTTTTCTTCGAGAAGCATCCAATACCCTAATATTTTTCACGTACCATTTTCACCCCTTAAGTAATTAATTTAGAGCATCCACTAACTTGACATTAACTCCTCACACATTGACCTTTAGAATTATAACAGAAGGTGGTTTCCGGTCCTATGTGGTCGGCAAAGTGGAGGTGAAAGAGGAGGAGCTACTGCATGAAGGCAACGACTGTGAAGAGAGAGGGAGATGAAGGAGATGGGTTAAGGATTGATGATCCTAATGTCTCTGTTCTCCCGTGTTTTTTTTCTTAGAAACAAAGACAAGTCAAGGGTCATATTGTTCACTTTGAAAGGCATCATCCACATGATAACTAACAAGATCGTGATTAACACTAGAAAGGCATCAACATGAATGGTGTGGATTGGCTTTTGTTCTTGATGGAGAGCATAATGGGTTGCTATGGCCTTTGAACATTTGCGTTGTCACCATTGTCACTTCAAATGCTAGCTGCATAACTCGTCTTCCTCACCATCTTCACTCTGAGTGTTAGCAACACAGCTCTCCCAAATCATCACAATCACTCCATGGATGGGGAAGAATTTCAAAGAATCTTGAACAAGTGGTCTTGGAAATTTGAAAAATCATTGTGGAAGGTCAAGGAAGAGGTAGATCGTCATCAGCAATGGAGAGGATGAAAAAAAAGGGAGATGAAGATGTCAAATTTCAAGGATGGCAATGGTGAACATAGCATAGGTGTGGGCCTTGAGGTAAATAGTGATGGTGGAGGCTGCTGAGCTTTGAGCGTTATTGGAAGTGGGTGAGCAATGATGAGAAGAAGAGAAAGTAGGTGACAAGGGTGTCGTATCAATGCTTCTAGTGCAAGAGGGAGGTGATAATGCTAAAGAGTGAGGCAGCAATAGAAGAATCATTATTGGAGGGGGATGATAATGTTTCACATAAAATGGGGCCCATGAGAAATTTTTAACAGAGTTAGTGTAGATTTAACATTAGGGTAACATGTGCACCAAATTAATTACATTAGTGGCAAAAATGCTCCACAAAAAATGTTAGGGTGTTGGGTGCTCCTTGAAAAAAAATCCGGGGCAAAAATATACATTTACCCATAAAAATACAATCAAAATACCTTAATATAAATTTAATATTTTATTTTGTTTTACTAAATTTTTGGGCTATTACATTAAATTTCTGAGTTATTACATATATGTTCCATATTTACTATCAAATGTTCACTAATTCATAAATATAGGTTCACATATTCACAATAACAGCTTTGCATATTTGCTAATTGTGAATCTAAACTTGTGTGTGAATATATGAATATGTGAACCTATACTAGGGAATATATGAACGCGTTGTAGTGAATTTATAATCCTTTACTTATAAATACGCGAATGTCTGGTAGTAAATATACGGACACCTTAAGAGAATCCTTGGATTTGGACAATCATTTCAAAATTGAAAGGGCATGCGGAATAACTATTTTGGTTCCGAGGGCTCTAAGTGCAATTCTGCCTTTAATTATTTCCCCATCTAACCTCATGACAGCAGATGCGGCTTTGTTTGGTAGAACTAGAAACATTAATAAATCTCTCTCTCTCTCTGCCTACCAACACACTTTCAAATATTATATATAATATATATAGCTTTTGAATGTAGCAGTTCTTTGACTTTAGATCATAGCATTGTGCTCTATCTACCTACTGACTTACACATATTATAATATGTATAGCTTTTGATTGTAGCAGTTCTTTGACTTTAGATCATAGCATTGTGCTTGAGATCAGGAAGTAATAAGATCCGTGCAACTATAGCAGTACAGCTAGTAGTATCGATCATTCATTGTAGAGTAGTATCATCTGAGTTTCTTCATTTTCGTTGCCTGGTACTGATTTGATTTTGTTATCGCAGATTACAGTTTTGACACAGCCAAGAGATTACAACCCTGCAATGGAATACAGGCTCATAGGAGAATCTTCCTCAAGCTCTTCCTCTTTCAATCCAACTCCAAATTGGAAATATGACGTTTTCTTGAGTTTTGCAGGAAAAGATACTCGCTTAAATTTTACAGATCACTTGCACGCTGCTTTATGTAGAAGTGGCATCAGAGTTTTTATCGATGACAAAGGATAGAGAGAGGGGAAGTTATATCACATCAACTTTGTCAGGCAATTGAAGATTCTTTCTCGGCCATAGTTGTTCTTTCTCAGAATTATGCAAATTCTACCTGGTGTTTGGATGAACTTCATGAGATTATTAAATGTAAAAACAGTCTGGGCCGACAAGTATTTCCCATTTTTTATAGTGTTGATCCATCTGATGTCAGATATCAAAAGGCAAGTTATGGTAAAGCTTCAGCCAAACATGAAGAGAGATTCAAAGAAAGCGAAGACAACGTTCAGAGATGGAGAGATGCTTTGTTGCAAGTTAGCAACTTGTCAGGGTGGGATACCAGGGGCCGGTAAGATTTTTTCTTTCCATTTTTTTCTTTCCTGTTTTTGCCTTTTATTTTAAGAAAGATTTAATTTAATCATATTTCAAGATTTTTCAATTAGGTTTTTTTTCCTTTTCCTTATAAATATACTCGCTTAAACTTTAAACTGTTTAGTTGGTCAAAAAAAAAAAAACTTTGAACTGCTTATAATATTTGCTTTTGTCTCTCTGCTTAGCCGTAATGCAGACAACAATAGAATAATAGCATGGTGGATTCGTTAGAAGGAGAAAATATAACCTATGATTTATGAATCATATCTAATATATTTAATATTAGCCAATGTTATTAAATTATGAATTAATTAGATAAACCGGGATAATTTTTTTAATAAACGAGGGATAATAAATATTCATTCAGATGTGCCCAAATCACATATAATTAAAAACTCTCAAAATTATTTATTCTTTATTTTATCTTCGTCATATTATTGCATTTAAATTTCTCTCATCTTTTGCTATAATATTTCAATTATTTTTAAATCAAGTCATAGCAAATTAAAAAATAATAATTCATGCTTAAAATTTATTGGGATTTTTTTTCCTTTTTGTAAGCATGAAACAGAAGTTATAGAAAATGTTGTTGGAGAGATATGGATCAATTTACGCTCTAAGTTACCATCTTATAATGAGAATTTGGTTGGAATTAATTCAAGGATGGTCGATATGATATCACTCTTAGGAATTGGGTTGGATGATGTTCGATTTGTAGGAATATGGGGAATGGGCGGTATTGGTAAAACAACTCTTGCTAGAGTTGTTTATGAAAATATCTCTTGCCAATTTGAAATGAGTTGTTTTCTTGGTAATGTTAGGGAGCTTTGTGAAAGAGTTGACCTAGTTCATTTGCAAAGAGAGCTTCTTTATAACTAGCATAGTAATTAAAGACAAGAATGAAGGAATGACCATAATACGGAACCTTTTATGTAATAAAAAGGTTATTCTTGTCCTTGATGATGTAAATCATATCAGTCAATTATAGAATTTGGCTGAAAGTTCAAAATGGTATGGCACTGGAAGTAGGGTTATTATAACAACAAGAGATAAACACTTGCTTACATCGTCTGGAGTGTTTACAATATATAAGATTGAAACTCTGAAAGAAGATGAATCTCTTCAACTCTTCTCCAAGAAAGCATTGAGAAACAATAACCATTTAGAAGAGAATTATTTGGCGTTGTCTAAATCTGTGGTTAAATATACAGGAGGTCTTCCTTTGGCACTTCATGTTTTAGGTACTTTTTTGCGTGGAAGAAGTATGCCTGAGTGGAAAGATGCCTTAGACAAGCTAAAGAAAATTCCAGATGATAATATTCTTCAGATACTCAAAATCAGCTATGATGGATTAAATGATGAAGAAAAGACCATATTTTTGGATATTGCTTGCTTCTTCAGAGAACAGAGGAAAGAAGAAGTAATCCAAATTTTGAAAAATTGTGATCTTTTTCCAACAATTGAGATAAATATTTTGATGGAGAAAGCTTTACTAGTTGAAAAGAAGGATTCGTGTGGAGAGTGTATATTAGAAATGCATGATTTACTTCAAGAATTGGGAAGGAACATAGTTTTTCAAGAATCTCCTAGTAATGTTGGGAGACGAAGTAGGTTGTGGAAATTAGAGGACATTCATGAAATTTTGAAAAATAATACGGTGAGAAAGCTTTACTTCCTAAATATCTCATTGGGATTATAGTGTGTATAGTTAACATTTTAACTATGCTTTACTTTGTTATCCTTCTCATGTTATTTTTGTGGCAATTGACGTTTTTTATCAGGGATCTGAAGCAATGCAAGCAATTGTTATGCGCCCAAACCTACATGAATTAGAAGTAAATCCTAAATCCTTTTCTAAGATGACTAATCTTAAATTACTCATCTTACCGTGGGAGGTGAAACTTTCGTATGATCTCAAATGTTTTCCTCGTGCAATAAAAGTTGTTCAATGGTATTCATTTCCTTTAGAAGCTCTTCCACTTCAAATTCCATTGGATAAACTTGTCGATATTAACATGCATCGTAGCAAAATAAAGCAACTACGGAATGGCTTACTGGTAACATAGTTCACTCATTTTAAATTTATTTATGCTACATATAATAGGCGTTGTGAAGTTGCTCATTTTCTTATATTCTGTTTTATCAGTTTATGCAAAATTTGAAGTTCATTGATATGAGAGGTTCTGAAGATTTGGTTGAAACTCCGGATTTCTCAGGAGTCCCAAATTTAGAAAAATTGATTTTGGATGGATGCTCATCCTTGGTTGCCGTTCATCCTTCACTTGGAGAACTGAAAAAGGTTGTTGAAGTGAGTTTACGTTGGTGCACAAGTCTTGAAATCCTTCCAAGAAAATTGGAAATGAATTCTTTGATGAAGTTAAGTCTTTTCTTTTGCTGTAGAGTTTTTATGCTCCCCGAGTTTGTAGAAAATATGAAAAAATTATCATCCCTTAATTTAAGTCATACTGCTATAACCAATCTTCCTGAATCACTTGGATTCTTGATTGGTCTAAGAGATCTGAATTTGAGTGGATGCAATATTGCTGGTTGCTCAAAAGGATTTAAGCTGCCAAAAAATCTGAATGATCATGAGGCTTTGAGAGAACATGACATCTGTGAAGCTTGGAGTAACAAGAGGGAACTCAATGTGTCAACTTGGAGTAATTTACATCACATTTTTGAAGTTAATCTAACATCATTATCAGAGTTAGACTTGAGCTACTGTTGCATTAGTGATGACTCACTTCCAGATGATTTTGGCGGTTTACCATCATTAATTGCATTAGATTTGGGATATAATGATTTCGTTAATATGCCATCTGGTTGCTTCTCTAAACTTTTTCATCTGCACTATCTGTTTTTTTTAATTGCAAAAGGCTCAAGTCACTGCCAAATCTTCCACCACGGTTAATTCGAATAGATGCAATCGGTTGTAATTCATTAGAATCTTTATCAGATACACAACTATGGAATCTAGTTTCATCACTAGACCATGAGGTATGCTTGTGTAACTACTAACTATATTCATTTGTCTTCTTCTTCTTGGTGAAATAACCACATCCTTATATGATATAACTATTTTCTTGTTTTAGTGTCGATGGAGAACTAAATATGAAAATAACCACATCTTTATTTATTTCATTATTGATGTTCTACTGCTAGTTACTTGCTCCGCTCCAATTTAGATACTTTTAAGACAAATAATAAATACCGATAAAGCCATTAAATACACTTTACAATATTGTCTTTTCAAAACAAAAATATACATTTTTAAAAATACATTTTATTCAATATTCCATTTAAAGAGATACTCCCTTCACCCTATCACTTTTTGGGGAGATCTAATATTTTAAAATATAAGACACTTTGATAAAAATAAAGTTTTATTATTGATTTTTTTAATATAATCCTTTTTATATATATTTTTTCTCGTTAATATTCTTTCACAAATGAAGGACAATTTTAAAATTTCATATTTTTGTTTTGAAAAAATAAGGTTATAGAGTATATATAATAAGCTTTATTGTTAATTGTAATTTTGCCTAAAAGTATTTTATGAATTGGATTGGGGAGGGAATAGAATATAATGATAAGGATAATATTAAAAAAAACATCATTAATGAAATTTTGTTTTTGTTAAAAGTGTTTTACATTTTTTTGGACATCAAATCACCCCTTTTATAAATTAGAATGGAGGGAGTATTTGATATTGCCCCACCTCTCTAAAGCATGCCTCTTGTAATGCCTCAATCTCTCTCAATTATTTTTCTCTTGTTTTTATTGATTATTAAACTCTACATAAAATGAGAGACATCTTATCATGTTATAGCAATAAAATGGTTTAAATTTGTATTTTTTTAGGGGTTTTCAAAGAAAAATACCCTAAAATTATACAAAAATGTACCATTTCATTATTGTAAAATATATCATTTCATGTAGAATCTACTAATCAAAAGAATCAAGAAAAAACAATTGGAAACATGGCGCATTAGAAGAAGCATTTGAGGGCCTGGGCATGAGAGGTTTTAAGCCCGGTTTATTGGTATATATCAATATTAATAAATCAGTTTATTTAGCACTATTTATTTAATATATTTTATTAAAAATTATATTGTGCATAATGCATGAGTAAAGTTTCTTAGCAAGTTTTCACGAAAGTTTAATTAATGTTATTGTTGCAGTTAGAACACCTTCCTCAGAGAGATTTTATTGCAATTATTTCAGGAACTGAAATAGCATCATGGTTTCCAAACAAAGATGTTTCTCATTCAAATGATGATGATGGATTGGAAAATGTATTCATGAGAGTGGGCATCCCTCAACATTTTCAGGCAAGTGAATGGTTTGCAATAGCTCTATGCCTAAGAATAGCGAGTGCTTCGATCGACCTTATGAGTTGTGATATTTCTTGGAGCAATAAATCTCCTGAAGATGATAGCTATATATGCAAAGAGTGGGCACATCATATTGTCATTGACAATATTGAGAATTCTCATCTCTGCATAATGATATTGGAATTGAATAAGAAAACCTATCGACAACATCTAAGGGAAGGTCGTGATTCTTATAGCCTTCACATCAAACTTAGCACTTGTGGGAAGCTTGGAATAAGGGCTTGGGGATGGTGTGTGTTTTGTCAAAAAGAGATGGAAATGTGGTGGCACAGAAACCAAATGAAAACAAGCAATTTTTTTCTTTCAAGTCTGAGCTCCTTACACAACTAAAGGGCCTTATTTATAGTTCTGGAATCATGAAAAACTAAAGCTTACAAATTAAAAGAGAGGTTATAGAAATTAAGGGGAGGTTATAAAGGCTTTATTGTGCTCTATTATGCGTCTCCTGTTTCTGCTCTTTCTGTTTCATCTCCATTATGCATCTTCCATTTCTGCTTTCTCTGTTTCATCCTCCTCAGGTTGGGCAGAACTCGCCCTCGAGTCAAATTCATCATCTTCATCAACGTACAGAGATAGATCAGCGACATTGAAGGTGGCAGATACACCGTAAGAACCAGGTAATTCCACCTTGTAAGCATTGTTGTTGATCTTTTGCACTATCTTGAACGGACCATCAGCTCTTAGGGACAGCTTAGCATTTAGTTGTTTAGGAAATCATTTCTTTCATAAATGTATCCAAACCAAATCGCCCACGTTAAAAGTTTGATACTTTCGATGCTTGTCACGTTAAGTCTTGTATCTCAAGTTTTGCTTTTGTATTTGGGCACGAACTTATTCATATAACTTCTTGATTTCCTTAGCCCTTTGGTCAGCATCAGAACTATCTTGCTGCTTATCAAGTGAAGGGGTCAAGTCTAGTAGACTAAGGGGACAAGTGCCATAAACAACTTCAAACGGACACTTCCCAGTTGCTTGGTTGACAGAGTTATTATAAGCAAACTCAACTTGAGCAAGAATGAGATCCCACTGCTTCAAATTCTTTCTCACAAAACTATGAAGAAGATTACCAAGAATCCTGTTTATTGCTTCAGTTTGGCCGTCTGTCTGGGGATGACTAGCGCTGCTAAACTGGAGCTTAGTTCCCATCTTCTTCCATAGTGTCCGCCAAAAGTGGTTGAGAAACTTCACATCATGGTCATAAGTGATAGTCTTGGGAATGCCATGAAGACGCACAATCTCCTTAAAGTATAAGTCTGCTACTTGAACAGCATCATTAATCTTCTGGTATGGAATGAAATGGGCCATTTTTTAGAAATGATCCATAACTACCATGACAGAATCTTTTTGCCTTTGAGTCCATGGTAAACCCAGAACAAAATCCATAGTTATATCTTCCCAAGGTGCTTCTGGAATTGGCAGAGGCATGTATAGTCCGGTATTCTGATCCTTGGATTTAGCCAAGTGATAAATTCTGCATCTTTGTATATGCCTGTTGACATCCCATTCAAGTCGAGGCCAGTAAAAGTTCTCCTTCATCAGGTCAACTGTTTTATCCCGTCCAAAATGTCCTATTAATCCACCATCATGTGCTTCCCAAATTATGGCTTCTCTCAAGGAACCTTGTGGAATACAGAGGGTTTTACCTCAAAATAAAAACCCATCGTGTCTGTAGAACTGGTGGAAAGGTTGATTTACAGTTGCTTCCCACACTCCTCAAAAATCAGGATCATTCTGATACAACTCTTTGACAAGGTCAAATCCAACAACCTTGGTTTATAGTATTATAAGTAGCACATGGCGATGACTAAGGGCATCAGCTATGGAGTTTAGAGTTCCAGCCTTATGTTTGATAAGGAATGGATAAGACTGCAAGAGTTCACTCCAACGAGCATGTCTGTGACTGATCTTCTACTGGGAATTTAAATACTTGAGAGCCTTATAATTAGAAAAAAGTATGAACTCTTTATTCAGGAGATAATGACTCTAATGTTGGAGAGCTTGAACAATGGCATAGAATTCCTTATCATAGGTAGAATATCTAAGCTTTGCATCATTAAGCTTCTCATTAAAAAAGGCAATGGGATGGCCCTCCTGGCTTAAGACAGCACTAATGCCGGTGTTAGAAGTATCACAACTAACTTCAAACACTTGGTCAAAGTTAGGAAGAGCTGGGACTGGAGCTTCAGTCAACTTCTTCTTAAGCTCCTCAAAGCTTTTCTAAGCTTGCTCTGTCCACTAAAACTTCTCTCCTTTGGTGCAATCTGTAAGTGGTGCAGCAATTGAACTAAAATTATGGATGAACCTCCTATAGAAAGAAGCTAATGCGTGAAAGCTTCGAACCTCCTGGATCAATTTTTGAATTGGCCAGCTGTCAATGGCTGTAACTTTGCTTGGATCAACATGAACACCCTCTGCGGTAATAATATAACCCAAGAACACAACTTCGCTGGTAAGGAAGGTACACTTCTTGATATTTGCATAAAGCTTCTGTTCACACGAGGCTTGCAAAACTTGCTGCAAGTGATCTAAATGCTCCTCTTGATTCTTACTGTAAATAAGAATATCGTCAAAGTACACAACAACAAATTTACCAATGAAGAGTCTCAATACCTAATTCATCAGGCGCATAAATGTGCTAGGGGCATTTGTTAACCCAAAAGGCATCACATTCCACTCATATAAGCCATCTTTAGTCTTGAAAGCGGTCTTCCACTCATCTCCTGGCCAAATTCTAATTTGATGGTACCCACTACGAAGGTCAATTTTAGAGAAAGTAATGGCACCATGCAACTGGTCCAGCATATCATCAAGCCGAGGTATCAAAAACCGATACTTAATAGTGATCTTATTGACAGCTCGACAGTCAATGCACATTCTCCAACTTCCATCCTTCTTAGGTACTAGAAGAACAGGTACAGCACAAGGCTGACACTTTCTTGAACTAACCCTTTCTTCAACAACTCTTCAACTTGCCGTTGGACTTCAGCATGTTCCTAGGGACTCATCCTGTAAGCAGGCTTATTAGGAATGACTGCTCCTAGAACGAAGTCAATGGTATGCTGTATGTCTCGCATTAGAGGCAACCCTGGTGGTATCTCATTAGATATTACATCTGGAAATTCTGACAATAGCGGAATGACTCCAGGTGGATTGGTCATCTCGTCGTTCACCTCAAGCACCAGAATAAAGCTCATCATTTGGGCTTCAGATTTCGACACCTTGAATTCCTCCTTAGTCAATAAAGACACTAACGACTTAGAGACACTAGATTCCCTTGAAGATTGGCTAATCTCACTAGGTGATAGAGGCGCTAGTGTGAACTTGACACCATCTTTCATAAAAGAATAAGTGTTTGCTTGCCCGTTGTGCATAGCATGTCGGTCATATTGCCATGGCCTTCCCAAGAGAAGGTGGCATGCATCCGTGAGAACATCGCATGAAACTTCATCACAATATCGATTCCTAATAGAAAAGGTCACAAGGCATTGTTTAGAAACTTTTACCTCATTTCCTTTGTTGAGCCAGTGAAGCTTGTAAGGTTGCGGATGATCTTGTGTTGGCAACTTCAATTTCTCCACCATGTAGTCAGATACTACATTTTCACAACTTCCACTGTCAATAATGACATTACAAACTTTTCCTTGGGCCATGAAACGAGTGTGAAAAATGTTGCGTTGTAGCCAAGGTTCTTCTTTAA